GATAGATAGATAGATAGATAGATAGATAGATAGATAGATAGATAGATGTTTTACCAATCCCCCGAGGATGAAGAAAACCATGAAAAGACGACCAAGGGTTGTTTTTGCATAAACATCTCCGTAGCCAACGGTGGACATAGTAACCATTAGCAAATAAACACATTCCCAATATGTAAGTGGTTGGTTATTTTGGAAGTTTTCCCATGGATCCCCTGAGTTCTCCACCTAGAACAAAAGCAAAATGAATGCATCATTGAATACAATGCAATATTTCCATTCACGAACTTATTAGCATGTTACTACATAACTAATACGTTCAGGGAGAGAGAGAGAAATGCAACACAGATATGATCTCATTGAACCGTTGAGACCAAATTCTCTTTTTAGCCAGGGAATATCAGTAATACCTCATTCAACTCTAATGACATGATCTTAACCTTAACAACTCCATCATCATCATCATCTTTTAACAACAACTGAATGGAGATAGCAGAGTGTTTAATGGCCAGATGCCCTTTCCTGTTGCCAGTACGGAGTTATACTGTATATTCAGCAGATAAATTCTCATCATGCCCAGAGAGAGAAATATCTGCCTCTATCTGGGATCGAACTCACAGCCTCCTGATTGTGAGGCAAGAGCTCCACCTTTAGGCCACCGTACCACCCAACCGTAACAACTTGATGGACTGTGATAAAACAAGTCATTTTCTTTATATCAAATCAGTTAGGGTATATACTGGTTTGGCATGTCCCAAATATGGAATCCTATCGAGGGAAAAAAAGTTAGGGATCATCCTAAAATAGTAACCATTGTGAAAGAGAAGAGAGGAATACGATCACCCTTTGGAAGTTCTAGAAAGGTAGTCTAATAACTGGTAAATGATGATTGCATTAGACATATACAACTATGTTTAAATATATCTGACACTTAGGACTACGTGTAATGATGGACTTTAATGTGGCCTTTCCAAGGAAGTCAGGATAGCCACTAAACTGGGCTTTAACCATATGGTTGCAATAGGACTAGGGTTGGCATGACAGTAGTCTTCCAAAATGTGAGGGTTAGGGTTCACCTACTGTAATCCTATCCACAAAACTTAGCGCTAAACTACTCTTGGGACTACTCACCAAGAGTCACAAAATTCCTCCCTATTATAACAGCAAGTAGCTACCACAATAACTGTCCCTTAAGGCCATGTTTCAACACACAAAAGGGAAAAAATGTGAATTGATCCCCCCCCACCCCAAATCAGGAATCTAGTAAGACCTATTTTCAAAGACACATTGGGAATCTAATCCTTAGAGAAGGAGATGATGTGTTAAGTTATTTTAATTCAAGCAGGCAACAGTGTACAATGATCTTCGGGAGAAAATGAGCATTGTGTACATCCATAGATTGTAAGTCCTAGTAACACGTAACATTCTTCATTTGTTGTCTTGTGCACTACCACATTTTATTTTATGTTTGTTTTTAAGCCCACACTGCCACTTAGTGGCTCGTTGTCTTTATTGTCAAATTCAATAAAAAGTGTTCCAGAATCTCAAAATTAGATCCCAAAATTCCTAGCTTTCTGTTCCAGTTTCAGCCAAAGTCGTTGTGGGCTTTGAACTCCAGAGAAAATATGGGTTTTTTCCCCCCCAAATACTGTTTTTTTTTTCCTTTTCTCCTCTCGGAATAATTTCTCAGTTAGAGACAAGATTTATTAATAATATTTAAAAGAACCCAGGAATCCTGCATTAAAAATCTGAAAAAAAATGACATACAGTATGACTGAGGGGAATTCTCCATTACAGTATTTCTCAACTTCACCAACTTTTAAGCTATGGGGACTTCCAACTCCCAGAATTCCCCAGCCACACATGAAGGGAATTCTGGGAGTTGAAGTCCTCATAGCTTAAAATTCCTTGACAAAACCTGATTTATTTTTATTTATTATTTTTATTCTGAACACATAGGGAGTTGCTTCACTAGATTAAGCCACCAACCTCTTTGCAAAGCATGTTCCCAATGAAAATGAAATACATGATGCCTTTTTTAAAAATTATCTATAGCTGGATTAGCTCGTAATAATTCTAAAGCTCTGCAAATAAGCCTTTTTGAGCATACTTACCAAATGTATAAATCCAGCTGCTGTCAGCCATGTGCTAATAAATATCGAGCACAGATTCACTAACTTGATGGAATTACTGGTTAAAAGAAAAAGAGAAAAAATAAATTCTTCTCAGAGTTTGGTATTTTTTTTTAAAAAAAATGAAACATTCTCTAGCTTTTTCAAATCTTCCTTCCCGAAGATCCTCAAATTTTTCCTTTCAAGGTCAGTTTCTCAGCATAAAAGAACCCTATGGGTTTGACGTGCCTTTTAATAAACAAAGGATATCGGTAAAATAGGAAACTGTTGAAAATCTAAAGAAATGAACAATGTACTGGTGGGGGGCAAAATGTGTTTATGGGTGAATGACCTGCGTTCATCATCTCTGGGAAGGAGACCAACTTTCTCACAGCTAAGTGGATGCACCAAGGTCAGTCCTTATGGCTCATCTTGAAAAGCCAACCGTTAGGATGGGAGACCACCAGGAAATCTCAGGTTAGATGGGAATTCAATTTTAAAACGAAGCCCTTACAAGACGTTTTGGAAATCGGCTTCTGTATTATTGCCATGAACACAAAGGACCCCACATTTCAACCCTGAGCTATTAAATTAAAATTTCTCCTTTATTTCTATTTCATTTGAGATCTGGTGGTGATGGTATCTATCCTACTTTTTTCCAGCTTACCAAGAAGTAAGTTGTGGTCTACCTTGTTGAATGCCTTTCTGAAGTCTAAGTATACACCAGCATTTCGCTGGTGTACTAATTTAGTTACTATGCCAAAGAATGGGTATATGGGCAGTCCTTAACTTACAACCACAACTGAGCCCCAAAATGTATGTTGCTCAGTGGGAAATTAGTTAAGTGAGTTTTGACCTTTTTTTTTTTTTTTTACTTTTCTCACCACCTGGGTTAAGTCAATCACTGCAGTTCTTAAATTAGTAACATGGTTGGTTAAGTGAATTTGGTTTCCCCATTGACTTCACTCATCAGAAGGTCATCAAAGGGGACCACGTGACCCTGGGCCACTGCAATCGTCATAAATGTGAGTTGGTTGTCATCCAAATTTAAATCACGTGACTATGGGGATACTGCAAGGGTCGTAAGTATGAAAAAAGGTCGTAAGTCCCTTTTTTCAGTGTCACTGTAACTTCGAATGATCACTTAAATGAACTGTTACAAGTTGAGGACTACCTTTATATGTAAATGAGTATTTTTGATCCGAATAGAGTAGAATAGAATAGAATAGAATAGAATAGAATAGAATAGAATAGAATAGAATAGAATAGAATAGAA